GATTAACGGATAGTAAGTTGTCTTAACCTCTAAACTTATATTTCAACTAGCAACTCAGTTGTAGTATCAAAATAGATTTTTCACTAAAATATAGAATAACTGCCTTTTTTATAAAACAAATGTCCTTTTTACAATGTCATATATTATAAAACACACATCTATATACAATATTTACTAGGGCCTATATACTAGAGCCCTCACAGGACACTGCAAATTAAACAAGCAAATAATAAAAAATAAAATACTTTGAAAAAGGGCGAGCACAATAGATCTATGTAGGTCGCAGTGCTACTGGTGCTACAAACATCTGACAATAGCCTAAAGAACCCAATAAAAAAATAAAAATATAGCTTTTCGAATAAAAAAAAATGTTGGAAACTGTAATAGGAGCACTAGTATGTATACGTAAATTTTTAAAAACTGTTGTGAAACTTCATTTAAAGCTTTATAACTAATATGTTAAAATAGTTTCTTATTAAACAAATCGGTACGCAGGTACACCACTGCCTCGCTATAGGTTATTATTAATTGAAAAATTGACATTTACTCCTGTCAATTTAATCTCCGGGATTAAAAAACCGACTATACTTAGATAAAAAAAATGTCTCTAAAACGGTCATAAGAAGTAAATTAGGCTACTTTTAAAAAAACCCTGGTAACTGCTAGTATATACTAATATTATAAAGAGAGAGCGTCGTAGTCCCTACCTACGAACAACAAAATTAAATACTTATAACGCATTTTCGACGTGTTATACTACGTTATTATATTCTGTGGATTTCAATCCTCCGCATAACACGGGCATTCCCCCATATAACACGGGATTTCACATATTGTATTTCTGTACTGTGAAATTTATAATGATTTATACATGTTGATTTGTTTTGTACAGTTAATGACGTAGTTTTTTTAGTTCATATGTATGAGTGTTTTATTTAGAATGTTCATAATTTAGTTTAGATTTTAATAAAACGTACATATTTCATTCTTAACATACATAGTTTATTCTAAATATTTGATGTAAACCCATATTACCCAATTAAACGTGAATAATTAATACGTAACGCGTTATACGATATCGTAAAAATGCGTTGTACGGGAAAGTCCTATAACGCGCTTACGTACCAATGCGGACGCGGACCAATCTGCCGTGTTATAAGAGGTATTCCTGTACTCACTTATTTAAAAATGCTGGAAATCCTTATTGAAAATTACTGGTAATAAAAACAGAAATAAACTCAATACAACCATATTTGGAAATGTATATTTTTTATTCTACCACTTATTCGGAACGCTGACTCATCACAAGAAGAAGAAAAATTTGTGAGCGGCAGAGCTAAGTCCACTCGCCAATGTAGAAATAAGGGCATCCCATTGCAACTTGGAATCTAATTTAATACCTAGAAATCGTCAACAAAATTTATAGGTTCATTATCCAATACGAATTTTTAATCTACCTGTCTTATATTGGGGAGCGCTAGTTTTATACATTTAGTTTTATTTGCATTTAATAGCATATTTTTTGCAGTAAACCATTTTAAATCAGTAGAGAGAGAGCACTATTTACTACGTCCATATCATTAATATGTCAATTAACTTTGAATACAAATGAAGTATCATCGGCAAACAGAACTATGTCAGTTATTTTTACTACCATGTAAGGAAGGTCATATATGTAAACTAAAAATAAGAAAGGGCCTAGAATAGAGCCCTGAGGATTACCCATTTTAACACTAGTTCCCTCATTTTTTACCCTTTACACCATTTATTTTATTTCAACAATTTACTTTCTTTTATTTATTTATTTTTATTTTATTTTTCGGAAAAGCAAGGCTATTTACAAATATAGTTATAAACATAATTAAATGAGAACGGCCACTTACAGGTTTTCACGGATAGAAACGTAATATAAAATAAGTTACAGTACTAACACGAGAGGCGTGTTTGTGTCATAAATACTCATAAAATCATATATCAAAAAATAACAATCTACTAAATTAAAACATATGCTGAAATTAACAAACAAACATTTTTAAATAATGGAAATGCATATAAGTAACATTAAATTCGATACTTATAACTCAAAGAATTGCCTGCTCATCACGGCCCTCGCTAAAGATATTCTATCGGAAAACAAATCAATATCTAATACCCTACTTAATCTATTGAAGTTATTACTTGCTCGCCACATATAACTGTTTTGCCTATAGTTAGATGATACAGAAGGTATAGAAATAAAAGGAGTAAATCTGGCACGTTTAGCTGGTACATTAAAATTAAATTTTGAAAGTAACTCAGGACAGTCTATGACACCGGAGGCTACTTTAATCAAGTAAATGATATCAGCAATTTCACGGCGTTTCTCAAGGGTAAGTAAGTGGTGTTTTTACACATACTAATATAATGTTTAGACTCATATTGCTGTTTGACACGGTAGGCAAGAAAACGGACAAATTTTTTCTGCACATTTTCGATACGTGCGATGTACGTATCATATATGGGGTTCCAAATCTGAGATGCATACTCTAACTTACTGCGCACCAGTGTACAGTACAGTATTTTTAAAGTTTTTAAAGTCCGAGTTATGAAAGAACTGATGATTAGTAGTCACTTTTGAAGAAAATAAATTTAAAAAGATCAATAAATAACAGATTTAAATTAATTTGGTACCAACTATTGCTGTATCGATTAATAATAATACAACGAAATAATAAGTAGTTACTTAATAATGGGCATAAATAATGTAAAATAACCAGAAATAAACGAATAAGTGGGTAGAACTTAAAAAAGTGTGATATTTTATTTTCGTCCGAGTCAGTAGAGAATACGCAGGAGTGATAAAGACAACAGTAATATGACAAGTAAACAAGTAAAATAAAGACAAGTAAAATTGAATAAGAAGACGCGTTAAATAGACAATAAATATAAAATAGTTTATATGCACAAAGTGGCAAGTAATTAACTATTCTATTAGGTTCATATTTGTAAGTATTCCAGTAGTAAAACGAGTTGAATAGCTACGGTCACATTCACCGATAAGAGAACAATAGCGAGATCCGTACCTGAGCGGCATAGCAGTGATCGCAAACATTTCATCGCTTAGTGATAGAAAGATTATTATTCACAAATAATATTGCATGATTGTGAAAAATTTATAGTGCTATACTTATAAACATTGTAATTTAAATTTAAATGCGATATTAATGAACTTGTTATATCATGCGTGAAAAACATTGGAGAACAGGTTAATTCATCTTGTTTAAATCACTTTCATTGCTAATAATGAATACATGTGATTTATTATTTTTACGGATGTGAATTTTTCGAACCTGACCCGACCCATACATAACTGAAACTCTTCTCTTTCGCACTTGCTTTGGCTGCATTAAGAAGTCCCTTTGACTCCGCACTAAGATGGTCGTTCAAATAAATACGTTCCAGATGTTCCACAGAATCCGATGTCCAATGATGTCAAAGATTTAAGCGCTCGCGCGGCTGCTAAAAACTCCTCTTTTATATACCTATTTACGAAACTTACTATTATGGATTTATTTTTAGAACCATAGGTCGGAATTCTAGATATATAATTTATTTGGGTTTTAGGAAAACTATAGTTGACTTTGGTACTAATAGCATAAATTATGTGAAATAGTTTCATCATTTCATTTCATCAGCCTTTTGCACACATTTGACACCATTAATCGCAATATTATGCGTGGCGTGGCGTGATCGTTGTTCACCGTTGCAAAGTTCCTGTTTAATTTTTAACATATCTCTATTTAATAGGCCTAGACTCTCGTTCCTCATTTCGAGGTCAGCTATTCTGTTATCGAGATCATTTATTTTTAGACAACAATCGTTTAGCTTCGATGAATTGAAATCACAGGATTCCCGGAGATCTTTTAATTCTTCTCTAATGCTTTGAACGTCCTGAACCAAAGTCGGTAATGTAGTTAATTGGCGTTTAATATCTTTAACTCCCTTAAAAATTTCATCAAGCGTAACTGAGCCACCTGCTGCTGGCGCCAGTGCTGGCGACTGAATAGGGACCGGCGACGGGCACCGACAAGTGGGACATTTCCACGCAGACCTTCTTTCAACACCTAATTTTGTCCAACCTGATTCTGATATACCGGTACAAGTAAAATCCAGATGCTTCCTACAGGTTCCACATTGAGCTCCATCGTTAAACTGATGATTGCAAATAGCACACTTCATTCTGACTTAAATAAGATGACGAAACGTATATAGGTCGATGTTAATAAATTATAAAAATAAAATGTTGAGGATATATAAAATTATTAAACAATTTATGCGTCTTGCTAATACTATTGACTGCAACGAACTGATTGCTAATACTGTTGACTGCAGCGAACTGCATTTAAATAGGATTTCATCATGTTTATGGCTTCATATATAATACCGTAATTTTCAAGATTGCGTTAAAGTGTTTCATGATCAACGCAATCAAATGCTTTGGGACGATCACAAAGTACAGTGACTGCATTCTCAGACGTTTCCCAAGAATCAAATATATCTTTAATGAAAACTACACCGTCATCAGTAGTTGATTTACCGGTCGTGAAACCAAATTGTCGACTGTGAAGCACTTTATTTATTTTAAAGTGTTGCAGTATTTGATTGAGCAATATTTTCAAATATTTTACTCAGTACTGGCTAGATACCTATAATTACCTACCACAGTTTTTTCTCCTGGCTTAAAGAGTGGAGTTGTTTTACTATGTTTCATTAAATTGGGACTGGACTAATGAAAACTTGCATCAGTGTCAATGGCCCACCATGACAGAGTGCTATGGCGAACTTTATAATTGTAATAGCTGTGCCCGCAGTTTCAACCCCGGGATATTTATAGTCTATGTACTATTCTTGTAAAGTTATTATTGTAAAGTTTCATTAAAATCCGTTTAGTAGTTGTTGCGTGAAAGAGTTACAAACATCCAAGCATCCATCTATCTATCCAGTCATAATCGTTTAAATTAATGGTCGCCCTTGATATAACACGCCAAATGGACATGAAACCACAGATAATACAACGAAAAAAAGATTTAGAAAAATGCCGGTATTGGAGAAACAAAGCTAACTCCGAAACATATGGTAGAGCAATCAAATGTTATAACGGTTCACTTTTGTACACTCCGATTACTGATTCTAAGGAGTTGATCTCCACATACCGTAAAAGAGCTGAATTGTTATTCAAACTCGGAGCAGCAAGCTGTTGTATGAATGATATTGACATTATAACTGCTATGGGATGTCCACCTGACTACAATATCAATATGCTACGATTTAATTGTCAACAGCTAATAGCATTTGAGCAATTAGGTACTATGACTTTTCCATATTTTCAGTTCCTTGCTAAACGTAACAAGAGCATACCATATGTAAGTGCAAATATAAGCATCGTGAGAGAAGATGGCGTGCCCAAAGTGGTTGCAGCACGGGATATACGGGTCGGAGAACTCGTAGCGATTGAACCTGCATTTGTAGCTGTGCATCATAAAACTAACCGCAATATATCGTGTTACAACTGCTTTAAATTTACTCCTAGTCTTATCCCGTGTGAGACTTGTTGTTACGCTATGTTCTGTAATGAAGCATGCAGGAAGCAATGTTTGGAAGGTTACCACAAAATCGAATGCCAGATAATGGACGTTCTTGAAAACGTTGCGATTACGGTAAGGCATAAATTGTCTGTGACGGCAGCTCTAAAGATTGGACAACTGTCTAAGAGCTGGCAGGATGTCGTTACAGCTTCACGGAGTATCGGCACTAAAAGAATGAAGAACAGTTCAGACGACGAGATATTCGACTGCAATAATCCGCATTCAATTCTGAGTTACAATGATGATAAATATTTAATTCATGGTAAAATATTTAACCAAAGCTTCATATTTGCGACCGTTATAGACAGTTTAAGTAATATACCCGATTACTTCCCAACTGACGAAGATGAAAAGTTGGAGGCAATGCATGCTTTGGGGAGAATCATGCTACACTTATATATTACGTTCCCATTAGAGGTAGAAATTCAAAACTGGCAACACAATTATATTAACGGTTTTGTTAGTAGTTACACAAGCCCGAATATCGGGTTTTTTCTATTTACTAGTAAACTTAAACACTCTTGTGTGCCAAATTTGTTGGAGATTGGACTCAATAATAAGATTTGCTTAGTAGCTATCCGTCCTATTAAAAAAGGAACAGAACTAACAATTTGCTACAGGTAAGTAATCATTAAAATTATTAACACGTAGTTTTCTAAAACTAATATACTTTTAATATTAATACTACTTAGGTACACTATATTCAGTATTTCTAACTATATGTCTAACTGTGGCCGCGTTTCCAGCCGCGTGAAATTTATAACCCACGTGTTATTCTAATGTATAAGCTATATTACTTATGGTTCATAAAAATCCGTTACATATTTTTTGCGTAAAAGAGTAACAGTCACAGTCATCCATCCATCTATCCACCCAAACTCGCAAACTTTCGCATTTATAATATTAGTATGATTCCTTTAACATTATTTGTATCCAATTGCGGTTTTTCCCAAAACATGGAAGAATTTGTGGCGATAATGAGAAATTTGGGAAACAAATGTTTGGAAGATTTTACTGAAGATCTGTACAAACAGTAATAGAGAAGTAACTAAATGTATTTATTTCAGGTGCCCACCAGGTATTAAACATGAGGAACTACTGAAAACAATTTTTATTAAAAATGAATGTAGATGCCAGTGTCCACAAACTGCCTGGGACATAAGCACTCTACGAGAATACAAGTTTAACAGTAAGCAAGAGAGCATTTACCGAAGTTGGGAAAGTAAAAATAAGGAATTAACTAGTCTCATTCGAAACATATTCGGGGCTACAAAGAAGGAAATGATTGAGTTGATGTTTAAAGAAACGTGTGACACTATAAATGCATTAGTTTCATTTAATGATTATACTATACCTCCCCCGATACTTGACAACTTTATAAAATGCTTAATATATTTTCTGTTACCTCACTCGCGGCAAATAATTATATTATAGTCTTTTTTAATATATCGTAGATAAAATTGACACGAGTAAATATCAAATTTTCTAATAATGTTACCAACTATAGCGAGGTGGTGCTGTACCTGCGATACTGATTTGTTGAATCATATTTTTTTATTTTTGACGATTAGTTTTAAAATATAAAGTTTTCTACGTAATTGCCACAACATATTTTCAAAAGTCAAGTATGATCATGCATGCAGGATAGATGCGGCATAGTATTATTTGCAGACGATACTTCAATGATTTTTAAAGTTAATAGAATGACTAATAATTATGACGATGTAAATAGTGCTTTGCGGCGTCTCCTGCACTGGTTTACAACTAACAATCTTATGTTAAACGCTAAAAAAACAAAATGTGTTAATTTCTCTCTGTCTAAAAGTTTTAATACTAATTGCAATATTAAATTAAATGACGAATCTCTCGAATTTATAGAATCTACTGTCTTTCTAGGAATCACACTAGATAATAAAACACAATGGGGTGCACAAATTCAAAGCCTTGCAGCGAAACTAAGTTCAGCAGCTTTTGCCGTGCGTAAGGTTAGACAGTACACTGATACTGATACTGCTAGATTAGTCTATTTTAGTTATTTTCATAGTTTACTCTCTTATGGAATATTACTATGGGGAAAAGCGGCAGATATTAAAAATATATTCATATTACAAAAACGTGCCGGAGCGATCTACTGTATGAAGAGTCGTGACTCATTAAGAGAGAAATTCAAAGAGGCAAATATTCTCACCGTTGCTTCTCAATTTATATATTCAAATATCCTATATGTTCATAAAAATCTTGACTTATTTCCAAAAAACAGCAATATTCATAATATTAATACTAGATTTAAAGACAAACTTGCTGTCCCCAAGTATCGTTTAGAAAAAGTTAATAGGTCTTTTATGGGAATAGGTATAAAAATTTACAATAAGATACCAAAGGATATGTTGGAATTACCCTTAAATAAATTCAAAACATCTGTTAAATCATATTTACTGAGCAAAGCCTATTACTCACTAAACGATTACTTGAATGACGAGTGTGCATGGCAATAGTTGTTCATGCACTGAATTTTCATTTAATGTTAGACATAGACACCTATATAAATATACATTGTAAATAAACTGGCTTTAAAAAAAAAAGTAATTCAATTGAGTTTCTTGCCAGTTCTTCTCAATTGGATCTATATACCGAACTGGACGGTAGGGAAAAAAATAAAATTATAATGTAAAAATTTGACGTTCATAAGCGGCTAAAATGTCCTACATGAATAAATGATTTTTGAATTTTGAATTTTGAAAAATTTTGATCCATTAAAACAAACAATAAATTATATTCTATTCTATACAAAATCATGAGGCAGTAATGCCTGGATGTTACGTATTATTGTATTTATTGTTGAGTAGTACATACAAAATTTAAAAAATACAAAATTATTTGGAAGTCTCTATTTTTAATTAATCTAGTTGTTGAAGCATTGCAGAGGCTGTGAACTCTGAATTTATAGTAATAATAATAATAATAAAAACCAACTACAATTCACAAAGTACCATAAAGTCCCAAACTAAGCTTAGCTTGTGTTATGTGTACTACACAAATGGTAGTAATAGACAAAGAGAAATGAATAGACAAATAAGACAGAAAGCACCCTGAGTTTTAACTATAAATACAAATGTTTGTGTCGTATGAAGAATGGAACGCACCCGATGCGGTGACACCATCGGAAGTAAGGCGATGTCTTAAAGCGCTAGAAAATAAAAAAAAGTATATTGCTATTATTTTAAAAATCTGGATATATATAATAAGTGTATCAAGAGTTATAATTTAGTGTTTTAACATAATTATAAAGATATTAAATCCTATTCTTGTATTTTATTTACTTAATTTATTCTGAATTCTAAATACTAATTTATTCCGAAATATCTTTTTGTTATCACCGATACCCATATGCACCATACCCATATAGGGTATGGTGCATATGTCCTATTTTTTAAGGTTTATAAAAATCTTTAAAAGACCGTCCTCACGTCGGAGTGAGGGCGAGGGGGTGTGTGAGATTCTTACCCATTTAAAAACCACCCGGTATACCTACGAGCGTCATTTCCAGAATCGTATTCGCTGGGCTGTGCTGTTATTAGGGCGTCCTATTTTACCCAAGATCAATTGTGGAACCGTGTGCAACCGCCTTATTTTTTAAGAGGGGATATGTTCAAAACTGACTACCTTGACGAAAGTGCCTCCGAGTGTGGGTAGGGAAACCATTCCGTACCCAGCTTTCACGGTCAATCAGCCTTCAGCCTTCTACCAGTGGGTGGCAGCAACCTGCGTTGCACTAAGCACAGCAGGCGTGACCGCGTATCGCCCTCACTCCGTGCTCTAGATGCTCTGCCGATGTTTGGGGCCTCGCCGGGGAGGTCCCAGCTACGGGCGTCGGCGACAATTGTAAGTTGGTTCCACCAGATCGCAGCTCCTCGTCATGTCTGGCGTGGCGACCATGATGACGGGACACCAGTGGAGTCATCAAAGTTTATCTCAACAAAAAACTGTTGTAGAAAAGGAACCCTAAAAACAATACTGCATGAAAAACGAACTCCAAGAACACAATATTAGCACTCCTGAATTCAAGTTATAAATTGATGATATTTCAATATTTGCTTAATTTCTTAATCGATCCATAGTCGTTTCTTAACATACTTTTTTAGCTCCCTAAAATATATATATATATATTTTATACGATTATGGTGGCAATCAAGCATACGGCCCGTCTGATGGTAAACGGTTACCGTAGCCTATGAACGCCTAAAACATCAGGGGTATCACGTGCGCGTTGCCCACCCTTAAGAAACCTTAACATACCCTTCTTGAAAAATCCCATGCTGTAGTCTCGTGGGAAAACCTCGGCTGGAAGTTCATTCCACAATCTAAGTGTACGCGGGAGGAAATTCCTCTGAAACCGCACTGTCTGGGACCACTTAGGTTCCAGCGTGTGGGGATGAATTCCCTGTCGATGGAGAGCGGTGCGGTGGTAAAAGGTGGCTGTCGGCATCATGTCAGAACAATTCCTCAGATCACAGTCCGTTGTATAATCGGTAGGACACACAAAGCGAAGCTAAGTGGCTCGATACCGCCAGAGAGATTGCGATCATCGACAATTCTCATAGCACGTCTCTGAACCGAGTCAAAAAGACCAAGCTGGTATCCAGGTTCTCCCGCCCAAAGAGGAGAGCAGTACTCCATGTGCGGCCGAACCTGTGACTTATATAAGAGAAGTCTCTGGTCCGCAGTGAAGTACCGCCTTGCTCTATTAAGCGCACCGAGCTTCTTAGACGCCAGCTTTACCTTTTCTTCCAGATGACTGCGGAACTCAACAGTACTAGAGATGTCGACACCGAGAATCCCAATACTCTTTGAGATGGTAACGGACGTGTTCTGGAATTGAGGAGCCACATCAAAAGGGGTTTTCTTAATGTAATAATATAAATATGGTTGAGCGTAATGATGGCTGGCTCATACGTCATACTCGTGAACGAACGCTGCTTGTAGGGACTGCTCTGCTCTTATCACTACAACTAATTTAATCTTGTATATTTGTATTTGACCCAAAAAAAATTGTGCTGGTTTGTAGTTTGTATTCACACGTTTCGACTTGTAAATGTAAACTTACAAGGATTATTTAAAAGAGCAACACACAACTTTCTTGATCGTTCTTTTTGTTATGAGACAGCTTTCCGCCGTTTAGGCCGTCATAATTTCGATCCCCGTTTGAATTGGACGAGGGATGGATCGAGCTACTTGGCGGGTCTTATATGTAATGGTCACACAGGCAATTTTTACAAAGTCTACCTTGGTGACTTGACTTGTGCGTGTGGTGTCGCTGTAAGAATAGCACCACCCCCTCTCTTCCCGTGGGTGTCGTAAAAGGCGACTAAGGGATTCATCGACCAGTGGACGGGCAGCAGCGTCCTACTGAGTACCTACCATCATACTGCGATCGCCAACCCGCATGCCAAGCGTGGCGATTATGGCAATATCCCCCCAAATGAATTTACACCCAAGGCCCCGGCCCCCAGTCCCCGGCGGCCCCGCTAGTCTTGATCATGGTAGCGGTCATGGAAACGGCGGGGCAGGGGGTGCGAAGAATCTCCGGGTAAGACCAGGCTACCACAAACGACGACCACTGGCCCTGGCAACATACAACGTTCAAACACTGCGGACCGACGAAAAGTTAATTGAACTGGAGGAAGAGTTGAGCAGATTGCACTGGCATGTCGTGGGATTATCTGAAGTCCGAAGAAAGGGGGAGGACTCGATAGTCCTGAAATCGGGCAATCTGCTTTACTTCCGGGAGGGCGATCAACTGTCCCAAGGCGGTGTCGGGTTACTCGTCCACAGGTCCCTTGTGAATAATGTTATCAAGGTCGAGAGCGTGTCGACTAAGGTAGCGTACCTGATACTCAGAATTACCAAACGGTATTCATTGAAGGTCATCCAAGTGTACGCTCCAACTTCGACGCACTCCGACGATGAGGTTGAGGCTATGTATGAGGATATCTCCAGAGCCATACATAGTACAAAGACTCATTATAGCGTTATCATGGGGGACTTTAACGCAAAATTGGGCAAACGAAGCGGTGATGAGCTGAGAGTGGGGCAATTTGGTATCGGTGATCGGAACTTCCGAGGTCAAATGCTGGCCGACTTCATGGAGAAGGAGAACCTCTTTATGATGAACTCCTTCTTCAGGAAGCCGGAACACCGGAAATGGACGTGGATTAGTCCCGATGGTGCCACAAAAAACGAGATAGATTTCATCTTGTCAACGAGAAGACAGATTTTCAATGATGTCTCTGTGATCAATGCCGTCAAAATTGGAAGTGATCACCGGATTGTAAGAGGCACATTGAATCTGAATCTGAAACTCGAACGATCCCGACTGATGAAATCTACGCTCCGCCCTACACCTATACAGATCCAAAACCCCGAAAGCTTTCAGCTAGAATTGCATAACCGTTTCGAAAGCCTTGGTGACTGCGTTGACGTGGACGATTACAACAACAGGTTCGTGGAAACTGTCCGTGCGGCTGGGTCTAAGCACTTCAAAACCCGCCGCGCAGAAAGAACCGGAAAAATATCTATCTCTACCCTCAAATTGATGGATGAAAGGCGAAGTATGGTCCTGCAGTCTCC